ATTTTATTTGCATTATCTAAATAATATTGAATAATGATAGTAGTATATAAAATATATTAACATAGACATGTTGTTTTGTGTCGTGTAAAAGGTGACCAAGTGAGATAAATAGACCAAATATATTTGAAGTCTGAACTAATGAACACGTACGCTGCGTAGTTGACTATAAACAATATGAAGAATCTCCTTTTGGAAATCCCCAAATGCAAAGAGGCCGGACCAAAATTTGTTGCTCTACAACACCTTACAGGTTTTGGTGATCTCTTATAGGAATGGACACGGATCGGATATCCGGGTTTTTGAAAGTATTTGTGATTTGCTTCGAATGTTACGGATATCTAATTTTGGTATTTATTTTGCTTCGAAAAATACGGATATCCGGAAAAACGAATATCCAGAAAATAAATAAATATTTACGGATATTTACGAATATTTACATATATATCATCACTTTTGATTAATACAAATAATCTTAAATTTTTATACAAATTTGCTTTGCGAAAATATTTTTTTGCATGATATATAATATAAAATTAAAAGAACTAATGAATTTACATATTTTATTAATTTTAAATTTAAGTTACAATTATAATAACACAAAATTTAAGAAAAACAATTAATTGTCATAAGTTTTTCTCTCTTTATGTAATACTTTTATATGAGTAATAATGTGAATAGAATTATTCAAAATCATGTGCTAAAATAATAATTATATAATTTTATACATTTAAAATTTTAAATATAATATAATCAAGATATACATATATTTATATATTTTTGGATCAGATCGGATATCCGCTTCCCAAAATTTTAATATTTGTGATTTGCTTCGATTTAACCGGATATTGATTTTTAATATTTGTTTTGATTCGAAAGTTTATAGATATCCGGAATTTTTGAATCGAATCGAAACGAATAATGAGTCGAATCAAATTTCACAGATAAAATGTCCAGCCCTACTTTTGTTGTCTGGGAGTATATGGTTGCTTTATTTGACCGTCATAAATTATAATCATATTTATTTTAGAAACGTAGTATTGTTATTAATTGGCTGGACCACTGAGATCAATTAATATATACATTTTCACTTATCAATTGGCTTTGCACTATCATAATCATAATTTCGTAATCATGTTATTTAAAACTGTAATATGCGGCAATTTGCTTAATAATACTACTGTTTAGAGTGGAACACAAATTTTGTTCCTAGTTAATTAAGAACCACTTGCGGTTCAGTTATTAACTAGTTATACTTTTTAGTGTCCCACACCGCGTTTTTCCCAAAATTCGAATGTTATAGAATTGAATTGACTAGTGTGAAATTCTCTAACCAAAAGACCGAGAAATTAGTCCCACGAGGCTACGACGAGGACATGAACTTCCTTACACGGTTTCGTTTACTAGTTTACATAGTAGAAACAAAGATTAAGAGATGGTATATACAAAACTACTAAAGAGAACACCAGTATAGAACACCACCATATTTTGTTATCATGTCGCTAGTAAGATAAAAGAAGTCTAATATTTAAATATAACCAGCTCAGTAGCTCACAGGAGAATAATTTGACATGATTATTTTATCTTACAATTATATGTACAAGTGTATTTTAACATAGTATTGAGAAACGTTAGCAACAAAATACACTATTTCTATTTTTTTTCTTTCTTTTATATACTTATTTGACAGAAATGTTCGTTTCAGTGGAAAAAGTGCAAAAACCAAGAATGCTTACTGATGATACGAAACAGAAATAGAACAAATTATGTCGACTGACAAATAATTAACTAGTAGGCACTAGTTATCATGATCGGAACAGAAAAATCTGAAATGCGCATAAGTTGGAAGGACAAAAAATTCTATAACCAAGAACAAGGACATATTCAAAGATGGCAGGATTCATACGTAACGCCGTGCGTATATCACATTGTAATTGTAATTTAGTATGTAATATATAGAGTTTCTCAAAAAAAAATAGAGTATGTATATACATAATTGCTAACAATGTCATCAAGAAAATGCATATAAACTCCTTCCTCAAAAAATATATCTATGTTTTTTTTTTTTTTGGTCAAATAAAGAAAAATATATCTATGTTGTGAATACGATTAAACAATAATATGTCGACGTATTCAAAGATGGTCCACATACACATGAGTCATGAGTAACGCCGTGCCTATATAACACACGCTTAAATATCAGTTCAGTTATGTTATACAATAGTATATTTATTTATACTTCTAGTAGTGTTACAAAAATGTAGAAGATAAGTCGTGAGTACGATGATCTAACCGATACGCGGACGTATTCAAAGTTGCCCCACACGGTAGTATGTCTTATAACTCAGAGAAAATGTTAAATTGACTTAGAAAAATCTTAACTGCGTATTCTAAAGGTCCAATCTCAAACTTGTTCTGAAGAAAATCTAATAATTACGTCATATTTTATTTATCAATTAATACATAAAACTTTATATATATAGAAGACAGATAGGCAAAGAGGAGACATTACTAGACACACAATTCTTCTTTTGTCTTTAACAGGTCTCTCTTTTTGCCGCCAGAAGAAGATAACAGCGTTTGACGAAACTTCTTCAGAACGTAACAGTGTAAGTATCTCCCCAACCGAAACCATCTTCCCTTCTTGTCTCTTGTCTGAATAATTACTTTTATTTTTTACAGGTAGCTTTAATGGCTTTATCTTTTGGGTACTTACAAAGAGGCAACAGTTTCAAGAAAGATTCACAAGAGTGTGAAACACCGAGACTTCCGAAAAGCCCAGTAAAAATGTATCTGGAGAAGACTTTATCGTTCAAAGATTTGGTCGAGAAGGGGAACAAATACAAAGATGAGAATTTTGGGGTCAAAACGAGAAAATGTGTGAACTTGAAGGGTCCTAAACCAGATAACATGGTTCTTGAGAGGAGTCTCTCGTTCACAAGTCTAGTCCAGATAGAGCACAAGAAAGAAGAAGACTCGTCTCCGAAACTTACGAACAGGGGTAAAATGAGAATCTCTGGGAGCTTAACGGCGTTAAGTTTACCACGGCCGGCGCCGTTTTGGTCTCCGAGACCGTCGACGGAGCTTGACGCTGCTGCGGTTACGTTACAAAAGGTCTACAAGAGTTATAGAACGCGTCGAAATCTTGCTGATTGTGCAGTAGTTGTTGAAGAGTTATGGTACGTCAAGTTAAAACTTAAACAAGTTAATCTTTACACAAACCGGACATGTGATATGATTATATGTGTGTGTTTGGTTTAGGTGGAAAGAATTGGAATTGGCAGCGTCAAAACCGAACCGAACCAACCAGACGGCTATGTCAAGGTGGGCAAGAGCTGGAACAAAAGCAGCAAAGGTAATTTACTAAGAAATTGGACACATTTAATTTATTACATAGTTTTTTTTTCTTACATAGTTAATATTATACCTTTATCATAATTTGATTGTATGTTTTATAGGTAGGGAAAGGCTTGTTGAAAGATGAAAAAGCCCAGAAACTAGCTTTGCGACATTGGTTAGAAGCTGTAAGTTTATGCATTATTTAGTTTACTTTTGTGTATGAAGATTATACTTTGATATATAATAATGTTTTTTTTTGTTTCTATAGATTGATCCACGTCATCGTTACGGACATAACTTACACCTATACTACGATGTTTGGTCAGTAAGCGAGAGTACTCAGCCATTTTTCTTCTGGTAAATTTCACACAAAGTTTGTCTTAAAATTATTTCAAATTGTTTCCTTTAATTAGCTGAGCTGATTTGATGGCAAACCTTTTAATTGATACCAAAGGTTAGACATTGGAGAGGGCAGGAAAATGAATCTCACCAAATGTCCTAGAACACTTCTCCAACGACAATGCATCACTTACCTTGGTCCGGTACGTATTCATTGAAATTCGGTTAATTCCGGTTATCAGATAACGGTACCCAAATTTAATTTACGGTTATATTAACAGAAAGAGAGACAAGCATACGAAGTTGTAGTGGAAGGAGGGAAACTAGTCAACCGACAAAACAAGAACCTCGTTGAGACCATCGATGGAACAAAGTGGATCTTCGTGTTAAGCACGACAAGAAAACTCTACATTGGTCAGAAGGAAAAAGGACGGTTTCAACATTCGAGTTTTCTCTCCGGCGCCGCCATTACTGCTGCCGGTAGAATAGTCTCACACGGTGGAGTTGTAGAAGCTGTTTGGTCATACAGTGGTCATTATCGTCCAACAGAAGAGAATTTTCAAGAGTTTATCAGTTTTTTAAAAGAAAACAATGTGGATCTCACTAACGTTAAGGTGATTATTATAAAGATAAAAGAATCACTAAATTTAGCTTAAGTACATATTATATTGATGGATGGCTAAACTTTGGTTTTCAGCTAAACGCGACTGACGATGATAAGTATACGGTCACTACTTATGGAAGCACTAAACCGACGAAATTCGAAGGTCGAGATGAAACCAAGGTTGAACCGCCGGTAGAGGATTCCGTAGAACAAAAACGTTTTATGTGCAAGTGGAGTACCGGAAATGGGCCTAGGATCGGGTGTGTGCGGGACTACCCTATGGATTTGCAGATCCGGGCGCTTGAACAAGTCAACCTTTCTCCTCGTGTTGTCAACGGAAAGATGGGATTATTTGGCCCAGTACCTTCGCCAAGACCTAGTCCAAAGATTCGTGTCTCTCCTAGACTATTTTCCATGGGTCTTCCAAGTCCGAGAAACTAGTCTCTCATTTTTGTTCCTGATCTGATCATTCATGCTCTTTTTGTCACCTCTGATCTTGGGTGATTCTTTAACTGGAGTACAACTTGTATCCATCTCAAATAATTTAATTTTACATAATATCTAAGGTTGTAGTAAATTTTGTTTACTTTGTAACACCCGCTTCAGTATCATTATTTTATTTAAAGGATTAATAATATAAGTAACTGTTACACGTTCGGAAAATATAAAATTATACATAATTGGTGTGTGGATCCGTTTGAGTTCAAAGAACAGTGGATCTTTAAAATGATGTGTGGATCTGTTTGAGTTCTTTAGCTACTTGCATCATTTTAGGTCTGTCTTCATCACTCTCCTCGCAACAGCTCAGAGCAAGTGCAATACACGATTCAAGCTTCAGTTTTTGAGCACTTGTGATGTCTTTCATTATCATTGGATCAATTACTTCATCGAGTTTTCTTTTCTCATATAAACCTTTTACATAGCTAATAATACCTTGGGAGTCGTCGCCACCAGAGCTAGTGGAGACGAGAGCTGGTTTGCTAGTGAGAAAAACCATCAACAAGACTCCAAAGCTGTACACATCTGTATATTCTGTCACAACTCTTGTGCAAGCGTACGATGGATCAAGGTACCCTAGTGATCCTATCACCGAATCAACTTTTATTCTTGATTTTCCCACTGGGAGAGTTTTGGACATTGAGAGATCGGAAAACTTGGCGGTCAAGTTCCTGTCCAAGACAAAGTTTCTTGGCATAACAACTCTATGTATGATGATCTTTGGGAAGGCCATGTGAAGATAAGCCACAGCATTTGCAATCTCCTTGGCAATCTTCAACCTTACACTACATGGCAATATAGATTCCTCCCCATCAACCATAATACCTCCTCGCTCATTCAGAACCCCATGTTGTGCATTTTCAAACACGATAACGGGGAGGTTAAACTCGAGACAGCAGCCAGATAGTCTAAGAAAGTTGTTGTGGTTGCTCATCTTAGCAGACAAAACAATGTCATTGTAAACCTGCCCCACGCTGTCTCCTGTAATTTTATACTCCAAGAATCTTTTGATCAAGTAAGACTTGTCTTGGATGATACCTTTATACCAATTATGGCTCCTCTTATTGGTGACAAGACAACTGGAATGGAAGTTATTGGTGGCTTGAAGGATCTGATAAGAAGAAAAGCTGCGTGTAGGAACTGATTTACCGTTGCAATCAGCGATAAGTTCTTTTAGCAAGATGCTTCCACTCTCCAAGAACCACTTGTCTTCCATGTTCCTAGAAGATCGATATCTCAGTTTTCGTTTCAGCTTTTTTCCCCAGCAATTCCATTTAAAGACCACTGATTCGAGGCAAAAAATGTTAGATTTTCCTCTTCGAATATGAAAGACGACCTTACATCTGAATGCATAAAAGATATGATGAATACCTTTCCAAGGTTAAAACTAGGGATAAAATGGCAACCCTTGACCTTTTGGTAGGTACTCAAGTCGCATTGAAGGCAGACACGTCTTATGATGTTGAATGACTTCCCTCTCTCATAAAGTGCACAAAAACTATGGATGTAGCTAGATAAAAACTGAAATTAGTTGAATATAAAGAATAAAATAAGTGGAATGAAATGTGGATATTAAATCAACTACAAATGGCAGACATTTATATCTCGTAAGTGTAGTAATATATAGATTATAGATTATATATTGTACATTGTATTTATAGATTTATCGTATAATTTTTTAGGTATGAATATTCATATATCTATTTAGATTCAGTTAGTTTATTCGGATTTCAGATTTTTAGAGTTATAAATTTAAATCCTATTTGAATATTTACAAAATTTAGTTTATATTTGGTTAGAATAATTTTGGGTTCAATTTAGATTCGAGTCCGGATGTCCATTTTAATTACATATTTTCAACGAAAATTCAAATATACATAAATCCTTAAAATCCAAAAATAAAATAATGTAAAATATAAAAATTTGATTCGTATAGGACTAAATATTTAAATTTTCTTTAAATTTAGTTCATGGATAAGAAAAAATAAATATTATTAGTATTTTGAATATTTATTGTTATTTAAAATATTTACTTGTGATTATGTTGATAATATTTAGATATTTTCATATTCCTAAATATCTAATAGATATATAATTTAAAATAATTAATATATTTAAATATAAAATTATGAATTAGATACTTTTATATCCAAAATAGTTTAGTTTATATTAGATCCGAGTCTGGTTATTCGGGTATTAAAATTTTAGATCCATCTAATTATTTATTTAGTTTTAGTTTTTGTTAATTTATTTTTAAATCTAATTCGGTTCGGTTCATCGGATCCATATATTACCCATACTTACTTTCTTCTACTAATATAAAGAAAAATAAATGTAAAACATGGTTTATTTAACATTCATAATCATTAGACTATACTTTAAGAATAACAAAAATGATTGGACGTTGTGTCAATATTGTTAGACATGTTACAAAATTAGTTTATGCTATTATAACCAATAACGTGTATTTTCTTATAAAAAAATCTTGGAAACTATAGTAAAAACACTATACAATCGAGCGAAAATGGCTAGAATTACGTGTAAAATAATGTGATCTCTTCACTCGACATCTGAATTCTGTTTTCAACCGATATCACGAATTTAATTTCCTTTAAAAAAATTTCTGATTTTTTATTTTTTCTAGTAATCTAATTATATTTTTATTTGTTGGTATGTGTAAGGGGTAAAACTCACTCTCTAGTTTAGGTTAGGTTTAGATTGGGGAAAAGACAATCGTGGGCTAAATCCTGTTAGAACTTAAAGAATGAATGTGATTATATTTGATGAACAAGAGTTACAAAAATGATTAAAATAAATACAAAGAAGTCACTTGAATGATAATGTATGTGAAAATTTGTAAAGAGCGTGAATAATAGTGAATCGAAATCTGGCCACTTGCTTCGATCTCCCCCTCCTCTTTTATAGCTCTTGATGATGTTCCAACGACCTCAGCTAACCTCCGAGATTTGCTCCGTGAGTTGAGGGATTCTCAACAGTCTACTTTTGACTGGGTCCTATGCGTCCATCCTGAGCTAGTCCTACTAGCTCTCTGTTGATGAGGTCTGGAGCTCTCCTCCGTGACCTGTTTTGGTGACGTTCTTTCCTTAGCAAACAGCCTCCGGCTTCTTTCTAACTCTTTTCTCAAGATGTAATTGCTAATGGGCTTTATAAGAGCCCATTATCGGTTACTTTTATTCAGGCCTGTCAACTTCAGCTAACGGGTCATATTTGGGCCCAACAGTTACCCCCAGCTTTCGAGATGAGACCTCTTTTCTCGGAAGCTAAAGCTTAACCGCCTGATATCTACCTCTTTCGTTGAGATAACGATTATTTTATATTAAACTTGAAGATACGCGTGACCTTAATCGAGCGATCCCGATTTTCGTTTGGTAAGATCTACGGCTCTCGTTAATATATTTGAACAGTTTCGTCCCCGATTTTCGAGACACGATGTGATATAAAGCTGTAGTCATTAACTGCAGCTTTCACCACTACTCCACGCCTTGATTCGGTTTCCCAGGTAACTGTCCAATTTCCTCCTTTAACTTATAGTGGTTAGATTTTTTTTATTTCTTGTTTTCGTCACGATTCTCTAAAACCCTCTGATTCGAAAGTTCTAGTTTCAATCCGAATTTCTTTTTCGCTCTCATTCTATCCTTCGGCTCCTTTCTCGGTTAACATGACGCGACCTAAGGAAGGTACCGGAGACACTGAAATTTCTTCTTCTGGTGTCCGGCTTATGAAGGTTAAACAGGAGATCGGCGAAACGATGAAGAAGAATGAGAGGAGTAAGAAGATTAAGGAGTCGATAGCCTCAAGAGTCTCGAAACGATCTAAGAAGAACGACGGCTCGAGTGGAAGCGTCCCTCTTGGTTCTCATGTGGCCTCCTCTTTAAAGGGCCAGGATGTGGTCAATCTCATGGTTCAAGCCGGAGGTCTCAAAGATTTAGCAAGAGCTTGTAAATCCGATGAGACCCCGGAAACTGCTCCGGAGGGATGGTTCTGTGTTCATGAGAAGTACATTACCAAATGTCATCTCAGGTTCCCGCTTCCCGATCTTTTGTTGGATCTCCTGGATCACTACCAGTTAGCCCTTTCTCAGCTCTGTCCTTCGGTAATCCGAGTGATAAATGGTTTTATCACTAGGGCTAGAGAAGAGGGGGTTGCCGTTGGTATTCGTGACCTGATGAGCCTCTACACGATCAAGGAGAGCGCTTCAAAAGATGGTGGTATCGGTACCTACTATCTACCTTGTCGACCCAAGCTAGGTCTCTTTAAGTTCTCCGGCAGTGATGACGACTGGAGGAAGAAGTATTTTTACCTTAAGATGGACCCTTTGACGGTTCCTGAGGGTCGTACCCTAAGGGTTACTTGGTCTGATGCTTCTGGTTAGAGTCTCTAGGGATGCGTTCGTATGGTTTGTTTTCTTTTGCGCATTTCATTGATCGTTGATTCTTTTTTTTTGCAGACATAGACGATCCCGAAAAGCTTACTAATAAGTTTACTAGAGCTCTGTACCGCAAACTGAAGCAGAGTCCTTGCACGTGGGAAGCTTTCACTACTTCGCGTATAGGATCGGCTAGGTTTCCTGATCGATACGGAGCCTCATTTCTGGAACCCACTCCTGCTGCAGGTTTAGAAAGTAAGCCGGTTTTATCTTCTTCTTTTTTATCATATTAACTATCCATTTGGAATCGTTTGATTTTTGAATGAGTTTTTGTTGATTCAGTTTCCGAAGGTAACTCAATCGTGTCTATCTCGACGGAAGCTAGTACCTCCGAGACCGAGAGAACTCAACAAACTAAGATGCCTCTCCAACCGTCTTACCGCTCTCATGGAAAAGCAGCTAAAGTAGCCAGTTCTTCTCGAGGGAGTGAGAAGAACCAGGGGGCTCTTTTCTTAATCAGGTGCGAGATGTTCTTGACGATGGGGTTTCTATCCCGATCAAAGATGTTGCTTCTGTCGATGTGCCAAAGGTCCAGGAGTCTGCTCCCAAATCTAATGTTCATGCCAAGGAAGCCGACCCTCAAGTGATCAAGGAGTCTTCCGAGATCGAGCCTCCAAGACCCAAGAGGTCCCGTGTTGACCAGGTGGATAGACCGTCTAGGTCCTCTTCCTCGTCTTCCAGGGGAGGAACCATGGGATGGAGTTTCACCCATTCGAAACCTGGTTCTGTCCTGGAAGATCCTTGGGGTTTGGCCACTTTGATGAGGCATATGAAGAGGACCGGCTGCTCTCTTCCTGCAATCAACAACATGACTAACCGAGAGGAATATGTGGAGGACGCTCATTGCATGGGTCAGGTGAGGGATCTCGATTTTTTTTATTTGTTCCTTCTAGTGAAGTCGTCGATTGATGGTTCGTTTGGTCCTTTTTCAGCTAGCTGGGGCTATTAACCGAGCTCAATTGAGCTTAGAGGACACGATTAACAACGCTCCCAGAGCAGGGGAGTTAGCCCAGGTGACCGAATGGTGAAGGCTACCAAAGAGGAGCTCGATCAATCTCGAGCTAGAATCGCCGAGCTTGAAGGTGTCGTGGAGAGGCTTGGCTCGAAGGCTGACATTCAGGCCGGGAAGATCGAGAGTCAAGTTATTGATATCCAAGTGAAGGGAAGGAAGATAGCTGAGCTGGAGGCTGCTCGGAAGGTCGCTGAGCGACATGTTCGAGAGCTGATTACCTCGTAGCAGATCAGCCAGAAGAACAAGGAGGCTGAAGTCAAGCTAGCTATCCGTCAAGGGAAGAAGGAGGTAGCTGAAGCTTACAACAAGATCTTGATTTCTGTCAAGGAGAAATTTGCCAAGAAGAAGGAAGAGGTTAGCCTTCAGATTTATGCTCAGGAACTTCAGGCTAATACTGTCCTTCTTGAGGAAATGTTGGCTAATGAGATCAAGAGTGTTGATGAAGAGTATCAGCGACTGATGTCGTTGATTCCTGAGGCTACCGCCGCGTATGAGAAGGCTCAGGTGTCAGATTTTTCAGTAAGCAAGTTGTCTCTGCCTCAGTTCTCGGAGAGCTCAGGTACCTTTGAGATCAACATATTTAATCCGTCCTTTTCTGGAGGATATGGTTCTAATTTAGGTCTGGTGAATCTGGCTTCAGCTCTAGTTGAAGCAACCACAGGTGATGGTAAGAAGGAGACGGGTGATGGATCCTTAGCTAAGGAGTTGGTTCCAAGCGAGGAAGAGAAGAATGAGGGGAAGGGTGCTGATGAAATGG